TCTAAAAAATCTTCATAATGTGGAGGCTCTACATCAATGTTGTTAACTTCCTCCTGTCCTACTCTAGGGCAGTTTCACACTACACTGTTTGGGGTTGGTTGTTCATTATTTAATAAATCATTAAAATAGACTTTCCACGTCTCCAGGATTTTTTATGGATTGCTGATAAGTTCACCCTTCTTATAATTGTATAGTTTCATTTTGGGTTGGAAACCATTTTTGAATTCCTTCACGCCTTTGTAGAATTTTCTTGTCAGTTTTGAATCAAAATCGCTTTGGAGCATTTCGAGTTTGTTTTTTTCAAAACTTCTCTTGTGCCTACATATCTTCTTTGCAATCCTTCTCATTGAGATATACTCCTGCCTACTTCTTCTTGTACCCACAGTAAGCATTCTCGATCTCGCTTCTTTTCTATCCCTAAGTGCTCGATCGCATTCATCATCGTACTATTTCTTGTTCGCCCTTATCTGTGTTGTCTTCAATATCTCTTTGGCCTCTTCTTTTAAAGATGATTTAATCTTTTCCCAACAACTGCTTATTTCCTTATTTTCTTCATACCTCTTTAGAAATGATTCCTGTACAATTTCTTTAAATTGTTCAGCTTTTTGAGGTATTTTTAAAATTCTGCTTTGGTACCTGATAGTTCTTTTCCCTTTTATTCGCACATTGCATTCTATTCTCTGTCTTTAAGGTACTTTAACCAAGAAATGATCAGTGTCTGCGTCTGCTCCTCGATAACTTCTCACGTCATTTATATCAGAACAGTGTCTAGAATCAATGAGAACGTGGTCAATTTGATTTCTACTTTTTCCATCTGGGGACATCCAGGTTTCCTTATGTATTTCCTTATGAGAGAAGTATGTACTTTTGATCACCATACCTTTTTCTTGGGTGAACTCTATACTTCTAATTCCATTATCATTGGATAGTTTATGTTTTCTAAATATACCAATAGTTGGCCAAAAGACTTCTTCTTTCCCAATTTTTGCATTCAAGTCGCCCATAACTATTTTAACATCATGGTGCGGTAACAAGTTATATTCTTGGTAGAGTCTTGCATAGAAGTCGTCCTTTTCTTCCTCTTCACTGTCCTCTGTTGGAGCATCTACACTTATGATAGAGGTATTAAATAATTTTCCTTTTAGTCGAATCACACCTATTCTTTCTGAAACCACCTTCTATCCCAGAGAGAAATACTTTATTAAAAGTAATGCTGCCCTACTACATAGGGTTGCTTCGTACACAGCATACCTATCAATCCACACGGACATTAATTTTATATTTCATTTTTCTATTTTTTATACATATATATGTCATATCTTTCCTTTCTTTCTCTCTTTTTCCTCTTTCCTCTCATAACAATACACTTACAAGTTATCAACAATAAAACCATATTAAATAATATACATACATTAAATAATATAAACATTTTTCCAAGACAAAAAAAAAAAAAAAAACTATTTCCCTGTTTCTCTCTTTTAAATTTTCAAACGCCAGGAACTCATTACAACATCGCACACATACATAACACAGCAATTCCCAGAGTGCAGACAAAAAGACAGGACGACAGCGGATCAATTCAAAATTTAATAAACAATTATTACCAGATGTCCTCAATCGGTATAAATATGATAGTGGATGATTCCCAGGGAGTCCAAAATAATATTTTCGGCCAATACCGCGAGCTCCCCAACATCAACACCTAGTTCTTCGAGAAAGCTCCTTGTTCTTTCCGGGATCGTTCCGCGAGACCCAAACCAGAGGCCTCTCACGGTGAACTCTCTCTCTCCGAAGGTCTCGCGGAATTTCTCTTTTAGGAAAGGGATGCATTTTTCGTATATATTCCTCTTTTCCCTTTCCACTTCACCCGCCTGATCGAGGTCGTTGCTCTCAAAGCGGACAGTTGGATCCAAGATTAGCGCTGTCCTTCCTGTTCTGGGAAACGCGACAATATCCGCATATCTTGTAGAGCCTTCACTGTCTATGCAATAGACCTCGTCAAAGCAGGTGAATTCCTTTTCTCTAAGGAGCCTCATCACCTCGAACTTTACCCTATGGTGCCGGCGTGTTATGAGGAGGGAATTGTTGGGGCATTTTCCCAGCACATGGGCTGGTGTTTCCGACTCTCTGCCGCATTTACGACAGAGGGACCCAACTTCCTTCGACTGTCCACTGGCTCCTGGGACTCCGCGTAAAGGTGCGTAATTGATGTTTAGTTTTAATGCGTTGGACCATTCCGACCCCGAAAGCACTTTTTTCTGGCATATGTATTTATTGGCTTTCGGGGTCTCTTTAAAGTGTCGAACTCCAACGCCTTGCCACCTGCAGCTGGCCCACTCTTCAAAAGAATTTTCTCTCAGCGACTGTCGTAGAGCTCTCACGCTTCGGTGGCCCTGATCCACTCCCAGTCTTTCCGCACATTCCGCGATTTCCGCATTATAATCAAATGTGGACTGGAACAGGGAATCCGGCACATTAGACAGCCGCTGGGCAATGGACCAATGCTGCAAAGGAGCCTCCCATTGACAGCGGATCAGTCCCAATCCACGAAACCTCCTCGGTGCATAAAACATCGCCGTTGATGCATTAGCAGGGAGCCCGATAATGGCCTTGACACTCCTGCGGATATTTGTATCAATTCCTTCCAATATCGCAGGACGTATCTTTGTGAGGGGCGCCGTCTGAAGAGGGTAAGTAAGTCCCGGGAACACGTACTGGTTCACAACGTTGATCTTCTGCTCCGGCTTAAGAAGGCAAGAGCTAACCAATTTGTCCAAGTTGTTGTTTAATTTTGTCACCATTTCCTCATTTAATACCAGCTCTCCCGAGAACGCACATCCTAAATACTTTATAGTTTCACCTGGCTTTGTTGATGCTATAACTTCTCCGTTCTCTAGGGAGAGCTTTGTTTGTTGCAGCTCTCCTTTCTCGACTATCAAGCCCACGCTTTTCTGCGGATTTATTGCTAGACCGATCTCGGCAAGGATCCTCTGCACACCATTAACAATCCTCTCCGCAGCACCCTTGTCACACGCTGTAACAGCCTGGTCATCCGCGAAGCCTGTGAGGACCACACATTCTTGGTCGCTGCTTAATTTATATCCATAGCGGTTGGCAAATTCTTGCTCACACAGGTCGCGGTACAGATGATCTATAGCCAGGTTGAACAGCGAGGGCGACAAGGGTCCGCCTTGGGGTACTCCTCGCCGCACCTTGATCCAGCTAGTCGAGTGGGCTCCGATCCCAATCTTGATTTGGTTTGACCCTAGGAGAGCCGCAATTACGTTCTTCAGGTCTGGTGACACTCCTCTTGCCTCTAGTGAGCCGATTATATGTTCGTGACCAACGTTGTCGAAAGCGCCAATGACATCCAAAAACACCACCGCGCAATCTTTCTTTTTATTCTTGGCGTCTTTTATGATTGCGTCGATAATTCTGGCGCTTACGTGTGCTCCCGGTAGGCCTCTGATGAAGCCTCTCTGATTTTTGCTGAAGGTGATCTGTTTTCTCAGTTCATGGTCCAGAACCTTCTCAATAATTCGGCGCACAATTGAATAAATGGTAATGGGTCGCCATGATGATATGCTGTTACTATTTCCTTTACCCTTGTATACCAAGATTGTGCGCCCCTGACGCGGTACATATGCCACCCTCAGCATGATCTCCGCAATGGTCTTTATGATATATGAAACATCAAAGAATTTAATCGTGCGGACCAAAACTCCGTCCGGCCCCGGTGATGTGTCCAATGACGTTGATTTGATCGCCTTTTTTACTATTTGGACATCGATGGATGTAAGATTTGGCGTCGGGGCGCAATTCTCGTAGTCCGCACGTTTGCAGAGATTTTCTTTCTCAAAGAGGCTTCTGAAGTGGCCTTCAATCTCGGCTACCTTCAGAGGGCATTGCTTAGGAGCGTCGGCGTTCATAATATTCTGCACCACTTTCTTTCTTCTGTTATAATAATTGTACTGGGCTACCTCATATTGATATTGTTCTTGCCGACGACTCCTATCTGCCTTGTTGGCCCTCTGTGGATTCGACACTTTTCCAGCACCCTTGCCAACCATATCAATCTTGTTTTTCCGTCTTAGCTTATAGAACTTGACGGCAGGGTGCTGTGGGCCGGGCAATTCTTCATTGATTGTTTTTAGAAATTTTAGAAAATTGCCCACTGCCTCATCGAATTCCATATTATCCACATTGTTTTCCACACATTGTTCCAAATACTTCAGAGATTTCCTGATCATGTAGCCCATTCCCAGAATATTCCTTTTGTGTCCAGTGTTTAGTATCATACATGATTCCAAATGCATTATTTCCTTTCCTCTCCATTTTATCTCCTGAATCGCCACAACATCCTCACCGTATTGAAGCGATGTACCTTCCAGATTCCTACTTGCTCCAGCCTGCCCCAAACCTCTCAGATTCCATGTAGCCAACATTAAGTGTTTACAAGATCCTTTGACTCGCCTAGGTCGTTCACTAAAGACAGTCCAGCTTTTTCTTAAGAGATTCGTAACATGAGATATTTAAGGGAAGTGGGTTGTTGGCCCACTGTCCGCGAGTCATGTGAAGGGCTGCCTCTTCAGAGCATCCTAATTTGCTCCCCCGTCCAGGGCGGCTACCCAGGGAAGATAACCCTTGGGTGTGTACTGTGAATGATCTTATGTTCAGTGTACTGTTTTAGTGTACTGCATGAGTGTCAGTATACTGTTCCCCCAACCTGAAGTACCAGTGGCTGATTGCAGTATAATTACTGGGTGATGGGGCCGCCACCTCCCTACACCAATCTCTATATATATAAATAAATATTATAATCTGATTATTAATAACTTTAATTCGTGAGAATATTATCTTTATGTTGTTTGTTTGTGGATGTGTAAACAGGATAATTTTTTAATTAATAATTTTTTTCTATGGTATTATTCCTTTTGTTCCAATTTTTATTACTACATATATTGACAAGTATAACACTTTTGAAATTAATTATGTTTCAGACCACTCCATGCAATTGGTTTTGCAACAGCTTGTGCCAGTACTGGAGGCCTATTACTGTTTTTTGGAGCTAATGGTTTAACTGCAGCTCTCGGTTTTGCCAACCTTATTTTATACACATCAATATACACTCCTCTCAAACGGGTTAGCATTCTAAATACATGGGTTGGTTCAATAGGTGAGAATTATTAAATAACCTTAAGATTTTTAGTTTTAATGTTAAGTTAGATATTGTGTAGATTACTCTTGATTTGATGGGGAAAAAGTAAATTGTTTAGATGTATACAGGTTATGATATATCAAATATGTTAGTCTGTATGGGGAGTGGGGTAGCTCCGTGGTAGGGCACTGAGCTTCCAATGCAAAGGTCCTAGGTTCGAACCCCGGCTCATGGCAAAAAATTTATTTATCTGTTTCATTGGCCGTGGGGCGACCCTGGGTTGAAGGTCCCTCCTGGGGTACACCCAGCCTCTATAAAGTGGGTACCCTTAATTAAATAATTAATTAAGGGAGAAAACCTGGCGGTTGAGCGTGATCTCGGTCAAATCACCTCCTTGCACAACCGTTGACCTAGATACAGTACTTTCCCTAAATAGTACTGAACCCCCAGACCCTTCATGGGTTGTAGTGGTACAGGTTTGTCTGTATAAATCAATTAATTGGTCTGTGTGTCTGTGAACAGTTTAGCTTAAAATCAAAAAGTCATACAAAACTGATATTACGTATTAAAGATTTGTATAAGCCATAGATGTGACAGCAACTTTCTCCTTAAAATCAGCTAACCAGAAATGCCACTTTATGTCAATGGCGAAACACATTTTTACAATTTTCTCAAAAATGGCTCTAACGTTATTGATTAAACTCGATGTATCATGTATAATTAAATGGTCTTTAATATCACTTAGGTCTAATCCTCATTGACACAGGCGGATTTACGGGGGGCTTTCTGGCTGAAGCCCCCGCCCCAAAAATGATAAAATATAACCATGTTTTATAGGAAAAAAATATAAAAAACTATCTCTTAAAGTATTTTAGTTCGTGTAATTACATTTAATAGGACTTCAAGAATCACTTAAACACCATTTCATATAGGTAGTTCTTTTTTTTTTTAATTAATTGTCGTTATATATATATATATATATATATATATATATATATATGAAAAAAAATCTTTCAGCCTGAAGCCCCTCCCCACCAAAAAATTAAATCCTGGATCCACTAGTGCTCATTGATGTCACTTTACAGGGCTTAAATGCCTTATGTTCATATTTTTTTTCTCTAAAGTATCAGTTATATAGTTTCATTTAAAAAAAATGAAAATAACAAATAAGTTAAGATTTCTTTTTCAGTAAAAATGTGACTAGTAGCAAAATTTGTGATTTTTAAATTCAAGCCATTTTTTTTTTTAAACTAGTAGGGGTATTGTAATGCGAACAAACTGATACATTTATAAACATAACACGTTGGACTATAATATTATGAAATATAAGGTACAAAACATTTAAGTAATAATTGCAGAGTTTTTCAAAAGCTATAGAGCTATACATAATGTGGTTTTTCATATTCTTTTAAATTTGCTTCTTGAAGCTTACTTTCTATTTTTAAAAATTATGACTTAGTAATATTATTATGTTATATATCAGTTAAAATTCACTGATTTTTGGTCAAAGGGGCTTAATTTATGATCATATGGTTTTAAGTGAAGAAAAAACTGCATTTAAAATAAATCATATTTAGTTAGTTCGAATTTAACTTTTAAGACTAGAATCTGTTAACATAACAATGATTCAGAAAGAAAGAAATACTTAGTCAAGATTTATAATAATTTAAGGAAATCAGAATTGAGATTGGTCCTTTTTCCTTTAAAATTTGGTAAATCATTCTGTAAACTTCACATTTCATGACTTAAAGGTTTTTGAACCAAGATGACTGAATCGTTCGAATAGGTTTGACATCAATACTAATATTACAGTTGGTGCTTTACCACCGCTGATGGGTTGGTCTTGTGCGACTGGAGCTCTTGGCCCTGGTGCATGGGTCCTTGCTGGAATCCTTTACGCTTGGCAGTTCCCCCACTTCAATGCCCTATCGTGGAACCTGCGTCCTGATTATTCCAGAGCAGGTTATCGCATGATGGCTGTCACAGATCCAGGTGTGTATTAAATCAGTAATTTTTTGTAATTATCTCATTAATATTTGATAAGTAGTCATTTTACATTTTTTTAAATTATTAGACAAGCTTTTTAATGGTAATATTTTAAGTTGTAATAACTTAAAACATTTTAGTTGAACACATGTTAGATAGTGAAACGTAATTCTGTATGAAAATTTCATCAACAATTAAGCTCAAAGAGTAAAATAAATATATTGATTTATCACATATTTATTTTATTTTTCAAACTTTATTCTTATTGTTAACCCATTCTATTTTGAATATAATCTCACATGCTTCCTTTCTCTTATTAGTATGAAAAACTGTATTTTATTCCTTAAAACCAAGGCCCTTGAATTAGATGGTATTTAAAGAGAGATATTAAATAGTCAGCATATGTTATTTGGGCTGTGATGTGTATTATAATGTTTTTATTTAGTTGTCACAGAAGAATAGACCCGAAAATTTGTCTACGTTAAAGTAAATGTCTACATTATGAGCTGTTAACAATATTGTTTTATTGACAAAGGTCTTGGTCGATTACAAAGGTTCATTATTGAAAATAATAAAACTATTATGATAACATTACTAGGCACTTCAATAAATAATTTAGACTTGACAACATTTCAATGAAAATCTCATTTTCCTGTTAATATTAATTACTCAATATTTCGCTTATTTAATGATTATGAGGAATACTAATTACATAATCACATTAATGCTACCTAAAACTTACATCACCCTGATCTTGGTCATTTAGCATCTGCATGCTTACTGAGATGGATAAAAGGAAGCGTACAAGGCAGTTGTCAGCAAAGAGTTAGTTAATGGAGTATAAATGTTGGTGAGTCATTTATTTGAAAGGATAAGAAAAAGCTTAATGGATATTTCATTAAAAAAAAAAAAAAAAAAAAAAATAGGGATTTTGAGGGGGTAAATAGGAATAATTAACAATTTGATAAGGATTTTAAGCTTATAGAGATAAAAAAAAACTTTATAAAGAAGTCTATAAAGATTTGAATATTTAATTGTTCTACAACATAATATAGTTTTTGGATGATTTTAAGGAACACTTATTGATAGCAGAAAGCAGGACAAAATCCAAACTGAAATGGAGCTAGATTTCTTTGCTTGAGGTAGTTGGAGAGTTAGAATTTCTAAAGCAATTACTCAGGGTTTAATCAATTTGATAGGATAAAAATTAGACTGTAACTAATTGAGAACAGAATAGCTAATGACATATTCAATTGTGTAGTACCTTGGTGTAAAACTAAGGAGCTTGCTAATATAGAGAAAACAGCATGTGTGATCATAATCAGAATTGAAAGGGTTAGGAATCAAATTTTAAAAAGAAAATTATCTAAATTAAACCTTTCATTTATTGTAGGGAATTTGAAAATAGTTTGCACATGGGCTATTAGTGTTTTTAAAACCAACATTTCCCTAATGTTTGTCTTTGTTTTTCATTCAGGGGCATTGGATAAGTTATGGAAGCTAACTGATTTATTTGACATGTAAAATTAAGGATTAGGCCTTCAAGTAATTAAAATGTTGAAAGACAATGAGTTGTCTGGAAGTTGGTTGCATCTCAATTCCTTATCAGATATTTGATTTCCTATAAAGAAGAGTCTTCCTATTAGTAAGTCTTGAGCCGAAAGGGGGCATCATAATTTAAAATTGTATTAAGTGGATTGGATGGTAATTCTACCAAGAACTCTACTGAATAGAGAATGAAACTATAATTTTAGGTTAAGAGGTTTGACATAAGTTGTTATGAATTCATCAGAGTTTCTTATAGTATGATGCTTTGGGATAAAGGCAAGGGCAAGGATGTCAAAATTTCATAAAATTATGAGGGGAAAAGACATTTTTGGGTCTGAAAATTGTTTAGGTTGGATTGTTCTCATGGGCGACTATGGATTTTATGAATCTGATCCACCTTCAGCCTTTGACAGTGATACAAAATCGATATTTTAAATAGGAGATTCTCAATCAGAATCAATATAGGAGCTCTCTTAGAGCTTCAGGAACTTCAAACCATAACTCATTCTCTTTTTTATTTAACTTAAGTCTATGATTGTAAAAAAGAATGAACTGAAAACGACTACCCAAAAAGCTGCTTTTGTAAGAAGACTGAATCCAAAAGTTTGAGGGGAGTTTTGTCTGAAGTTTATAACATAGATGCTGCTGAATGAATAGATGATGCTGAGACTGTGTTGTGTTGACCACATTTGTTTTAAGAGTTTGAAGTTCTCGACAGTGGCAGAGCTGAAAAGAAGGAAGTTGTTCTTTGATTTCCCAGTTCTTCATGTAATATAGATTTAAAATTACAATTCTTCAATGTTCTTATATTTAGCCTATAATGTGTTGATATATTGGTTGCAATATATCAAATGCCATTTCCTAGGGTATGAGGTAAATGAAAGAAAAACAAGTTAAACAATATTATTTTTTATTAAAAATAACTTCTGTAGCTTTATTATTTTTTTTTTCATCCAATAGAGTTTTTTTGTTTATTCCTTAATCAAAGAAACTTTTTGATCTTGAATCAATAAACCCGAGAAAAGAAATTTTGCCTCATTTCATTTTTTAATATTTTGTGGTTTAAAAATTCCTCAAGTGCTCTATAAAATTGATAGTAACTTGGAGACAAGTTTGATTAACATGTCAGATGTGGTACGACTTCAAATTTGAGAACATGTAACTTTGTTAGCTGATGAATTTTACGTGATCTGAAGATTGAACTTTCTCCATATGCATCATATGACTTAACTGTCAAAGTTTTCAAACCATTCGAATGTAATATTTAAATAAATAAATTAATAAAATTTAATTAGTTAAATTTTTTCAAGTTTACTGATTCATAACAAAAAACTTTCTTTGAACTAAGAATAAAAACTTTTTTGGGATTGAGTGAATGCATACAATAATATCCTTGAACTTTCCAACCCACTTTTTAATATATAATTTAGTATTTCCATTTTACTTGCAGGGCTATGTAGAAGAACCACATTGAGGTATACTGCAGCCATAATGGCTTTGTCTTTTACTGCCCCATATGCAGATCTTACCAATTATTGGTTTGCCTTAGAGTCGTTACCGTTAAATGCTTATTTCCTATACTTAGGTAGGTTGATTTTAATTTTTTTTTAACCTTCAATATTTTGTATTCAACTGTTAAATTTTTTAATTTGATTTCTTACGTATAGTTTTTTTAAATTCTTATGCATGTGTAAGAGTTTTCTTATAGAAGAAGAGGATACTTCGTTACTGGTACAATAATAGGTGAAGTATGGCCAACTATTTTCCCAGTACCTGCTGTTGTAACAATGGATTAGAATTAACTAGATGGAACTGCATACTATATCATATGTTGGTGATGCTTTGTTTTACGAATAAGGTCTGAAAAATGTGTTAGCTTTTAGTGTACTAACTTTATCAAGCTACAATGTGAAGATTAAATTTATTCCATGTTTCCATTAATTTATAAAAGTCAAACCACATAGGCTGAGTTCATATTGATTGCCCTTGATATAGTTGAGTGCACTGTAGGTACTGTCCCGCTGTCAGTGCTGGTGAAATAATTATTTAAAATTGGTTATGATCAAATATATTTCAGATTCTGCATTGTTGTTTATTATTTTTTATTGAATTTTATAAATAGTTTTATTAAATTTTCTTATTTATCCTGGTAAATCACATGTGACTAAATAACAGATCAGCCTGACAGAAGTGGTAGTTTGGATACTCGAAGATCTGTCTTGTTTGGCATACATTTGTCTAAAGATATGTAAGAAAACCATTCAGCTTCAGATTGAAAACTGTGGCATTTCATACCTAAACAGTGTGTTTATCAGCTATCTTTTAAAGATAAAATAATATCATATTGAAATAAATTATGAATATCATTAGAACATTGTATCTTGCAAAATAAATTGGTCACTCAAACTCATTTTAGGATGATAAATACTGAGTTGTTCGTTTGGTATGAAGCTCTCTCTCAAATCTTCCATTTTAATATCACAACTTCTAACTTTTCTGTGGTCTTTTAATTGCAACTTCTTACATTCCTCTTTTTTTTTGTTTTCAATTGTTTTTTTATCAAATCTGTAACATTTCCTTTTTTTCTTACCATGTGAAACTTTAAATGATTTGGATGTTCTTAATATCGAATTCACTGAAGAATTTTGTTCTGGTTGATCATTGGCTATCCTGTTTATTCCTTCTATATCCTTGTCGGTAATTTTGCTTTTTTCATGAAGATTATGTTTATCTAAATATTTGTCTTTTTTATTTTTCATTTGATCCAGGTAGTTGTTAATCAATTTATACTTCTCATCATTAATTTTTAATGTGTCCACTTCATTAGTTTCATGTATAACATTCTTAGGAAAGTTTCCTTCATTTTTTAAATAAGAGGAAGTATTTACTAACAAATTGTTTGTATTCGAGTAGTTTTCTTTTGGATATTTATCATTATTGCTTATTCTACCAGACAAAATGTCAGGTTCAATCCCTATTTTCCATTTATCTCCTTGTGAATTATATAATTTATCAATTGTTATATCATTCCTTTCTTTCTTTCCTATTGCTGATATTTTTTGTAAATCTTGAAATTTTTTTTCAAAGTTCTTTGCAGTATTTCCCTTAAATTTGTTGAAATTGGATTGTGATAAGTGTTGGGTTTCTTTTTTATCATAATCTATGGATTCATCTCTGGATTTACCTAATTTCATATACTTTTTGTAAAAGTGCCTCCTCGGGCCTTCATCATGTGGAGTATAAAAAGTTCTACTTTGCTCTTGCTTGAGAACATCTTTTATACGGTCTTTCACCATTTGGAATGCTTTTTCATCCTTTGCTGTGCGTGATAAGCCTAGTTTCTCTAAATATTTAGCATCTTCTTGTTGCTCTTCCGTATTAGCTTCACCTGAAAAGTTTCATATTTCAAAATTCTATGTACATTTAATATTTTTAAACCAATATGTTTTAAATTCCCAAAAAATGATTCTTTCTCTTCTCTCTTAGAACTGTATTTGTGTTTATGTATAATTTCTGATGATAATTCAAATTATATTGAGAAATTGTTTAATGTTTGTATAAAGTGTTTCTATTTAGAATAAATTTTTCTACAAAATGGAATAGTTTGTAAAGAAGTTTGTTTGATTTCGGCCACATAATTTAACCCTTCCTGATAACTTTATTGGTTAATTAAATATGGTATTGTGTATTACAGAAATATATCAAATACTAGTACAGGATTTGATTGCTATTGAATCTTAGTCTATTGTCAGAAGTAAGTAAGCCAAACAATTACCAAAGGTTGGCTTTTACATTAGAAAAGAGTGCCAGTACATAAATGTTTTTCTAAGATTATAGCTAATCAGAAGTTTATGAGTAAAATTCTTCCACAAATGTTAGCAGATTTCAATTGAAGTATTTATAAAATGCCAATGAAATAAACTTAATCATACGACACTAAATACAATATTTGCATACATGCTACATTCACAAATCTTTAGATAAGACTGAATAGTTCTATATAATGCATTATTGTTGTGCTGTATAAACATGTTTGACCAATAAAGCATTGATTTATTGAGGATGTAAGGTTTTTAATGATTGACATTACTATTACTATACATAATCTATTTATGATGGTATAAGTGCATTTTCAAAATAAATCCAAACTCCATGGATTCAGCATTGTTGAATCCAGAGAGCTCTATAAATAGTATCACGGGTGATAAATATTCAAGACGCAGTATTTCTTTTTTTAAAAAAGACTGCGTCCTGAATATTTATCACCCATGATATGTAGAACAGTTGACAAACTTCCTTCTATAAATTGTATCCAATCATCTTAGGTCCCATATAAATCTGCCAGAATGCGCTAGAGTCAACTTCAATCTTTAGGTTGCTGTTAAATAGTTTACAGATAGTGTCATTGTGAAATGAAATGAAAAAATATTTTATTATTCTGGGACTGTTTTCCCTTTAGAACAAATTATAAGTACAGATGGTATGACTGTGTGGTCGCAATTAGATTATATATACAATAAGAGTCGACTAAAAGTAAAAATACTGAAGAAGAGAAAGAAAAGCACAAGAAAATTGTACATATATATAAGAAACTAAAATAATCTAAATAAATTGAGGCAGTCTCAGAGGGTGCTTAGATATTTCTCTTAGGTATATTTCGTAATCAGTCGGATTGAGAAAGGAGTAGGTGTTTAAAGCGGAGAGGTTTGAAAGAGTAAACTGATTGAACATGTCGAATATCAGCAGGGATGGAATTCCATAGGGAGGCGGCTTGAATTGCAAAGGATTCATCAAACGCTGCAGTTCAGTGAGGAGGTGGATAGAGGTCGGCAGTATGAGATCTAGTGGGATGGGATTGAATGAAGTAATTGAATTGTAAGCTGTGAAAAATATAGGAGGGTCGATGAGTTCTAATAATCTGTTACAGAAAGGTGGCTAGGAAGTACTGACAGCGATAGAATGGGTAGAGTCACCTCAACTCGGTGTAATACTGGATAATATGCGTATCCATTGAGATTCTGAAAACAAATCGTAATGCGCAATTCATTAGGCGTTTAAGTTTGGCCTCGAAATCTCCCAAGAGTCCACCGTACACCATACAGCAATAGTCAAAGTGGAGGAAAACAAGGGAGGAAACTAGGAGTTGACGGAACTTGGAATGGAAGGAGATAACGTAGACGATTGAAAACAACCCAACTGCGAAACCCAGCCCAAATAGGGCATGTCAAAGTTAATTTGTGGAATTAGTATTCTTTAGTTTCCTCAACTTATCAAATGCATTTTTATTGATGTATTCTTGACTTTCTGATTTATGCCAGTAAAATATTCATACTTCTTATCTAAATCAAAAGTTCGTAAACTTGATTCTTGGAACTGTTATGTTTTTTGTCGGTGTTCATTGTTTGGAGAACTACTTTATAAGGACAAAACAAAAAAAAAAGATTTGTTTGGAAAGTTTCCAATCGGGTAGAAAATCGCACTGTGTTAATTTTTTTGTAAAATATCGATCCGCGTTATTAGGTTGAGACTTTCTTTTGTTTTTACTTTTTTTTTCTTCATTAGTTTAATTTATTTGAGTGGTGGGTTACTTTTAGTGCTATTATAACCTATTTAATCCAAAATAAAGACACTTCTATCATTTTTTAATCACTATTATATACATATATCCTTCTATGGAGTTGTTTGAGTTTACTTACCACATTTGCCCATAAAATTTATTATTAAACTTGTTATCACACCCTTTATAAACCATTTGGGTGTCATTTCTTAATATTGTTGCAGCATTATTGATTGAAGTTTCTCTTTTCATTAGATCACTCTTTCAACAGCATAACATCATAATTCTCCCATGTCTTACTTTTAATTTACATGTGTTCTATGTCTATTTAGATAGGGCATGTTTAACAGCTATCACATGTTATTAGGAAAAAAAAGTCAAAAATAAAAATATATTTAATGTATTTGAGTAAATTTTTCCTATGTTTAATTAATTTATAATTGTTCTGTTTTATTATTTATTTATATATTTTATAGTTGAGGCTATTTGTTTAAAAATTGGTTCAATTAACTTTTTTTATAAAATATTATTTTTCACAAGTTCTCAATGAACTTCATTGTCTCCAGCAAAGCTGTATTGACAACATATTGTTTCAGTTTTGTGTAAAAATAGTTTCACTTAGGGTTTTATTAAGACAAAGTAATATATTTTAAATGTTTCGTGTAAAACTTTTGAAAATGGATTGAGCTGGTTAAGCTGCATCCAATTTTTTAATTTTTCATAGTTTTTAAAACCATTAGGAACTTTTTTAAAAAACAATAAGTAATAATGAGACATAGTAAAAATCTCTCTCTTTGCGAAAATCTGTTGGTACAAAAATTAATAAACAATATACTTGAATTTAATTTTAAAAATAAATAAATAATATTTTCAGAATGATTAATTGTTGCCATAATATTGATTTAATTATCTTACAATGTTGGCATTCATTTTAAGACAAATATTTTATTCTTTTTAGGGTGAGAACCTTAGTAGTTTTCAAAGTATATTTTTTATTTAAATTTTTTTCTTTTTTTCCTCTTAAGGCTTTTGATTGTATAAATTTCCTAATAATATTAATCATAATTTATTTTTACTTGAAACAATTAATATAAATTTAAGTTGCAATTAATTTTTTATTATTTAAAGCAATGCCTTGAGTGTCTCAAATGGCAGTAAATAATTAAACAATTTAAGTTCTGAAAAATAACCATGTTGGTTTGAGAAATAGACATATTTTATGGCATTGTTTCACTCAAATCTTAATAAAAAAATCTTCATGTTTGGTTTTCCCGTCTTCATAAGGATTCTGTATTATGTGCTGTTTTCCAGTGACCATATTCAAGACAAACATAATAGTGGTTCAGGTTAATTAATAAATGACTTTCAATGACTTGTTTAGTTAAAATATCAAAAATTTTATATTATTAGACTATATTTATTACGTTATTATTTATATTTTTACTATTATGCTATGTAAGCATACTCTCCATCATTTTGATCTGGTAATCCAGGATAATTCTTCAATATGTACAGTTGACCAGCTAAATATATTTTGATGAATTTTCCTTGTTATATATTTAATTAGGTATATAGTCAAATTAAGGTAAAAAATAAGTAGAAGTATTTTTATCTATAAAAACTTAATTCAATTTATTCTCTTTTATAAGAAATTTAAAGCATTATGGTAAACTTAATTTAATTTATTCTATTTTATAAGAAATTTAAAGTATTATGTTTTTATTTTTATCTAGCTTGGGATTTTTACAAGAAATCTGATAGTTCCTCATCAAGAAAGTTGTTCAGATTTTCCTTGATCCATCTGCCGATATTAATGCTTCTGATGCTCATAAACAAGAAATGAGATTGGTATGTTTTGTATTATCATTATTTAGATAGGTATAGACGAAACAGTTCAGTCCCATTTTCTCCTCAGATTTTCTTTTTGTTTAGTAGCTATTGACGAGCTTTAATGTTATCAATAAAAAAAAATTGAAAACATTTTATATAAATAAAAATGTAAATGTTTGCACGAAACCGCCTATCTCTGAAAATTATTCACCATTTGCTTAGAAATTCTGATATAAAATGGCAAAAAATTCAGGAGTGTTTTTATATCATTTCATTACCATCCTGCCTTTTGTTTTGAAATGGCAGCCAAAAAACGTGTGTCACTGCAGACCAAAATGGCTATAATGATTTAATGAAACTTGGCTAAAGTCTTTTCCTTGAACCCCATTTTATTCGTGTGTAAAACATACTTCCCCGAAAAAGACTGAAAAAAGTAAAGATAGATTCAGGATTTTATTTGCAAATATCTCAGAAAGTACCCATATGGTACTGAACTGTAATTATATTATCAGATATACAATGAACGGTAAGTCAGAATCATGCAAATTCATATATGTTTTCCTCAAATGGTCAAATGTTGATGACTTGGGGAACAGTATTTATCATATAAAAGTCATGAAATGAGAATTCTAGAAATGTTTTATTCTAATATCTTATATTATGTTAAAAATATTATTAATTGTTAAATTAGCAATGTAAGCTCCACAAAGCCCGCCAAAAAAAAAATGTTCTTCTAAGGATGTTGAATTCTAAAGTAAAGATTGGATATGAATAATGAGCTCAGTTAAAAAGAGAGATAGACAATTTGAGGCGAGCTAAATGTAATTTTCTTCAAAAAGTGTATTCCTTTGTTTAGTTTATATTGAATTAATGTTTAAATAAAACTCTTGAGATGAATTCAATCCATGCAATAAGCATAATCTGTTTTTGAACCAAGTCATTAACTATTCTCTTAAGATTAACCAGTTCTTATCTATAGGTATTTATAATTTATTAATATATTTCAGATTCAAACTGATGGCAAAAAGAAAGAATAACAGTGGAACTTTTTCCCTTCAAATATTCAGAAGGAAAATTAATTGAACATATCATTTCCTGACCATCTTCATATATTGCTAGAGATGGAGCCCTCTCTTGCTGTATAGTTGGTATTTACATATTCTTCCATCTCATAAACGTCTTTTTATTTTTTAATAGAACTTTGACATTGAATAATTTTGTTACCAGTTTAGAAAGCATAGTTATTGGTTGCTGTTACTTTTTTATTGATGCTGCCTAAGCATTAACATTTTTATCATGATTTACTTGAAATCAAGAGGACCTTGATGGAGCAAGGAATGATTCAAAACATTGTTTTATCTTAATGTATAATACTGTATAAAAATATAGGTTATATTATTAGAGCTTTGTTTATTTAATCTTATTTTTTAATTATCCTTCCCGCTACAGTATCCTATTTCCATTTTATTCAATCTATGCAAAACCACTGGAAAGATTGATCCACTGTCAGCTTAATAACTATCTTGAGTAGAACCTTCTTAATCCTTTACAATCCGGTTTCCACATTCAATCCTATCAGCTCTGTTGAAAATTTCCTTAGACCTTAAATCTTCTGTTGACAAACAGAAAATCTCTATATGGGTGATAAATATTCAGGACACAGTCATTATAAAGTCTTTATTAGTGCCGACGTTTCAACCCAAACATTTGGGTCATCATCAGGGCGTGTTTCGAGCACTGAAGGTATTCAAGTATGAAACGTCGGCACTAATAACAACTTTATAATGACTGCGTCTTGAATATTTTTCATCCATGATATGTAAAACAGTCGACTAACTTCCTTCAATAATTCAGAAAATCTCTACAGTAGTCCTATTAGATTTTTTCAAAAGCATTTGATTTCGTCCATTATACAATTCTCCTTTCTAAACTTCAACCTGTCTACATCCAATAGCATCAGTCTACCTCCCTCTGAAATAACTTACCTACCTCTATTCATCAATCCACCTCCTCATTATTCCTTTAATCATAATTTATTTCTTCACTTACTTTATAATTAAGCTACTGCACTGTCAGCAATATTCATTTCTGTAAAAATTACTATCAGATATTCCTTAATTAAACATTAAGGCAGGCAAAATGGATTAACATCTCTAGGAAATAGATATAATTTTTAGGAATGTTATGATCTTTAATAAAATCCAACAATCAACTTGATTGCATTTTATTCCTAGCATAAAATTCCTTGCCCTAAGCTTAGTAAAATAAATTTTCTTTCCGATTCCTTTTTCCTTCTCTATACATAATTAACGATGATTATACAAATGATTCCTTCTCTTACATGAAAAATTAATTTGGATGGCACCCACAACGATAAAATCAAACCAGGAGGAAAATGAGCCCGGAATCACTGTTGAAAAATATAGATAATAAGGAATGATGGCAATGCTTTCCTTTACTATACAGAGTAAAGTGGCCAAACTGCAAAATTGAACTAAGGACCTCAAAACAAGAAAATAATTTCCTCAGAAGGTATGTCCGTCCACAAACGCTTTGTTTTGGAGATATTCATACCTAAATATTTTCATTGTTATGAATTACTTACGTTATATTAAGTAAATAAAACTTATTTATTTGTTCCAACTACTTTATTAAATAAATGTAAACATTAAATTCATATTAAATGTTGTTAAAAGTGATTTCCTTGAGCATTAAGACAGGCTAGGCATCTTTCTTCAACAGCAGCATTGGCAGAACGGCACTGGATTTGTGTTATTATTTCACAAGATTCAATTATCCTTTTTCGAAAGGAATTAAGGTCATTGACCGGAATCGCATACACTTAATGTCATCCCAAATAAAAAAATCCAGTGGTGTCAGGTCTGGAGAGCGTGCAGGCCAAGCCACTGGTCATAGCAAATGTACCAGTTTCTCTAAGAAGTTGAAATGTGGAGCTAAAGATAGACTTGATTGGTAACCTGTTCGGAAATCGCCTGGCATATATTCACGACAAGCAGCATTAGCATTGAAAAAACCGTATACAAACACCATATTGGCATATTCATAAATGGAAGGAATGCCTAATGATGAGTACTCTGCGAAAGTCTCTTACAAACTGATAAATGTTATTGAGAGTTCCCAATGCTAATTCCAAATAATATTAATCCTTATGTTGCCAATAGTTAATATATATACTGTTAGGGATAAAAGGCCATATTAGTATTATATCTAATCCATCTCCTAAACAAAGAGTTGCGAACATACTTCAATTTGAACAACATTTAATATGAATGTTAATGTTTACATTTAATTAATAAAGTAGTTAGAACAAACAAATAAGTTTTATTTATTTCATACAACATAAATAATTCATAACAACAAAAATCTTTAGGTGTGAATATCTCCTAAACAAAGCGTTTGTGGACGGACATATCTTCTGAGGAAATTATTTTCTTGATTTGTGGTCCTTAGTTCATTTTTGCAGTTTGGCCACTTAACCCTGTATTGTAAAGGAAAGCATTGCCATCATAATAAATTTCATATCCGTGTTTTTAACAGAAACTTTTTGAGGTCTCTTGAGTTCAAATAAGTCTTTAATTATTCTATTTGTGTATGAACATATAGTTATTAAAAATATACATTTACCAGATAGGATTTGGTGACAAATCGTAATGCTCACTTGTAAAAATAAATGAATAAAATAACTTTTTTAATTTATTTTTTGTATGAATTGTACTTATTTATTAATGTTTATAATTATTCAGTGAAATACTGATAATGGATAAAGGCTTATGGAGGCGTAAAAGATTGAGACACTTAAAATATACCTACATAACACTAATAGCTCTGAAATATAATTAATTATCCTCTATAAAATTCAAAGATATTAATAAAATAATATAAATGCCTACTTATTTATTAATTCATTGTGTGAAGTCTAATTATAAAGATATGGGCTGGTTTAGTAGCTTCATCAGGGATCAAGTCCCTTTCCCCACCAGGCATGTCTGGGTAAGCAAGCCTGGTAGATTTCGACCAAGTCTTTGGCCTAGTTTATAAACTAAAACTCATAGAAATAAGACCTGGGCATTCTTGAAATAAATCATATGATTATTTCATGAATGAATTATTTCCTAAATAATATTTCAAATTGCCAATGAAATAACTACTAAATTTATTTATGAAATGATTATTTCATTATTTTAACATTTATTGAAATAATGTAATTTATTTCGAAATGAGTTATTTCAGATTTACTTATTTCAGCAAGATCAAAGTGGCATAGAACTAGATTACCACAGATAAAGCTCATTACATCCAACTGATTAACAAACTAAATGCAGAAATTAAAAAATACAAATTCAAAATTTGTGACAAGTCACTATAGATGACCACTAAAATTTAAAGACTGTAATCATTCACTTCTTACCGAAGCCCAAACCTGGTCCAAATCCGACTAAGAAAAATCCCTAATATTTGCTCACCAACTCTTCAAAACCTTTAATCCACATTCCTATATTTCTGGATATGGCTCTTCCACCTAAAGCCTTTCATCCTTCAGAAATATCTAATATTATTCACAGGTTACCTTCCCACAAAGCTCTTAGACAGGGCCTAATTACATTCCAGATCCTAAAACTACTTCCTCGGAAAGCTATTCTATTCCTTACTTATATATTATATATCTAATGCTGTACTCCAATCCACATATTTTCCTGACCCTTGGACACTTTCTATTATCAAAATGATACACAAACCTTAAAAGCCACCAGAATACCCATCCTTTTACCATTATATCTCTCTTTTACCCATCATGGGCAAAATCCTGGAAAAACTCATCCTAAAACACCTGTAGCTCATCCTAGATTCGAATTACATAATCGCAGATCAGTTTGGATTCCACAAATCCCACTCCACTATCCAGCAATGCCATCCTATGGTGGATGTTGTCTCCTCTGCGTTAGAGCACGGAATGTACTGCACGGTAGTCTTTCTCAATATAAAACAGGCTTTTGATTGAGTCTGGCATCCGGGACTGATGTACAAACTCCGTAAATTCCTACCACCTACATACTTCCTCATTATCCGTTCCTACCTTAGTGATAGATCCTTCAAAGTAAATCACAAAAATGCCTGCCGGTGTTCCTCAAGGTAGTATCCTAGGTCCTATCCTTTACACAGTTTATACAGCTGACATTCCAACACTGTCTTCACCACCTATGCAGATGAAACTTGTATCCTATCTATTAATAATGACCCTTTAATTGCATCCCAAACCCTCCAATCCCACATCATAAATCTTGAAGAATGGAGTCAGAACTGGAGAATTAAAATAAATTCCATCAAATTACCTTAACCATCATCGGACATGTATTAAATGCTATATCGCGAAATGTACTGCACGGGAGTCTTTCTTGATGTAGAACAGGCTTTTGATTGAGTCTGGCATCCGGGATTGCTTTACAAACTCTGTAAATTCCTATATCCTACATACTATCACATTATTTGTTCCTACTTAACTCATAGATACTTCAAAGTGAATCACAATAACGCTTATTCATCCCTCTTTTCCCAGTCCACTGGTGTTCCTCATGGTAGTATCCTAGGTCCTCTTCTTTACACAGTTTGTACAGCTGACATCCCAACACATTCTAACACTGTCATCACCACATATGCCGATGACACACATGTCCTATCAGTTAATAATGACGCAACAATTGCATCCTAAACTCTTCAATCACACATCACAAACCTTGAAGAATGGTGTCAAAATTGGAGGATTAAAATATACTCCAATAAATCCCATCAAATCGCCTTTAGCCTTCGTCGTAAACCTATGACTTCCTGTCCTACAGCATCCTTCAATAATACCCCACTTATCCATGTTGAACAAATCCAGTACCTTGGATTCCACTCAGACAAATGTCTAACTCGGAATCCTCATACCACACTTAAACGACAAGAAATCGCTCGACATTTCCAATTACTCCAGCACTTACTAGATAAAACGCTCTAAGCTTTCAGTTAATTACAAAAGACTCATGTACATGACTACAATAACACCTATTTTATAGTGGAACTACACGGAGTTGAGATTTGGGGCTCCCCCAAAGCCATCGAATTCCTCACCTATCCAATCCTTACAATCTAAATTATTTCTGAAATAACATAAAAAAAGACCAATATAAAAAATATATATTTAAATATAAAGTAAACATAACACCGATCAATCTCTAATCCGCCGGTGACTGTGGCCACAAGGTGTCCAACAACCTTAATATTAATTTAGTTTCCACCATCATATTTCTTTTCTGCATCCTAAGTGGCTATAGGATTTTTATATTGACTAACAGTTTAAGCCAGTTAATATATTGTAAAGACTGACAGCCATTTCGTTTTTTTCTTTAACCCTTTCGTTTTCTGCTATTAGACAGACTTGAGGCATTATATTTACTGTTGCTTGAGAGACTTTAATTTTTATAGAGGCTGAGTGTGCCCAACAAAAATTTCGTTTTTTCTTATGTTCTCTTTTTGTTTCCTACAATTAGACGGACTTGAGACATTATATTTACTCCTGTTTGGGACACTTTAACCTTTGTAGAGGCTGAGTGTGACCGACAGAAATTTCATTTTTTTTTTATGCCCTTTTTTGTTGTTTACAATTAACAATAGACGTCCTTAGTAAATATAATGCTTCAACCCCGTCAAATGGTAGGAAATGAAAGGGCATAAGAAAAAAATGTGTAATTGTAAAAAAAAAAGAAATTTTGTCGGGCACACTCAGCTTCTACAAAGAATGAAGTATCTTTAACAGCAGTATATATAATGCCTCAAGTCGTTCTAATTGCAGAAAACAATACAGGGCCATGAACAAAAACTAAATTTAGAGCAGATAATACAGTTTTTATTATGGTTATTTCAATATCTTTGGCATCCATTAGAATGATTATTTCTGAAATAATGATCGTTATTTTATGAAATAACTGGGGAAGGTTATTTAACTATTTATTCCAGAAATATTATTTAAAGTAAATTCTGCCCAGGTCTAGTAGAAACATTTCCTTAAAATTTATAGCAAATTTTTGGAACTCTTAGATTTGTTCTTTTCTTCCCTACCTCGCCTCTTTTGCTATAAAGGTTTTTCCTTAGGCCAGTGTTGAATGAATGCCCTGGCACTGGAGCTCTTCAGGTTATCAGGCAATGTGTGAATTACATGTTCCAGCCTGCTTGGCCACTCTGACCCTGAGATTGAAGATTTATGGATATACGAACACCATTTGGATGTTAGCATGGTGGCAAATGAAATCAAAAACAACCCTTAACATCTTTTGTCATTCAAATGATCATTTTTAAAAATAAACCAAAATAAATTAAAACTTTAAACAAATAATTATTTTTTTTACTTGTTGGCAAAACAGAACTGCAGTTCTTTTGCCACAATGAGCACAGCTCCAATTTCCTTAATAAGGTAGCAGGTCCGCATACTACGCTGGTATTCCGAACTGAATTAGCTACCTATCCAGTTATATTTGTGAGTAGGGTCATAATTTAATCAGCCTACTCTACATCAACATATTTTTTCCATAGTTATGTGTAGGCAGTTTTGCTAATTTTATCTATGTGGTTGTGGATCTTTCAACACCCTAGAAGTATTCATTGTTATGCAGACTTCCTAATCAAGCGCTGAGTAACATATCCTACCTATCTTAACCTTGTCCTCTTCATATAAGAGATGATTAACCAGTTTCATTAGGCAGTTCCTAATTCATCTTTTTCCTCCAAGCATTTGAGCAGTCTGATTCCAAATTGCTGATGATTTTTCACTCAAATCTTTTAATTCTTCTTTCTAGCATATTGCTTAGTGTCATGTCTTGCAGGCATACCTTTAATTTAAGAGTTTTTGATATATTTATATAGCCAATCAGGACTAAGATAACCCACTTACATTGCTTTACTAAAAGCAATGAGTTGTACACATTCTGGGCCATCAGTTTCTGAATGGCTACCTTTCCCTTACAAAATTAGTTATTCCACTATATCAATTTTAAAGAATCAAGAAAATGACTTCCCCAGAATTTACTCTTCATTACAGATCATACAAAATCCCAACACATTTCTGATTAGTTGGCATCCTGTAGAATCACAATATTAACTTGAATATTTAGAGTTAACTGAATTGGTCAGTTTTACCCCTTGACTTCACCATAAATGGGGACTTAGCAGATCTAGTGTGAGTATTGTAATTTTAGCAAATCACTGTTACAAACTAATTATTAACAATGAAACTTAACAAATTATTTAAGTTGATAATAACCAATTTAATAACACTATATAATAAATATGAATGAGGATATGGCTTATTTAAAAGGAGAAAAACTTACTTCTTTTAATTATATAAGAAGTATATCAACTACCATAAAAAAAGTTAAAGATTTTTATTTAGGTCCATCTATTAATTTTGAATGTACAGTTTAGGCAAGCTAAAAACACTTGATATGAAATCAATTAGATAAACAACTGCTAATAATTTATATTTTGAACATAAACATAGACATGATAGTAAGCAACCAATCAATGAAATTTCACATGATAGTAAATATATTTTACTATTATAATAAGCAAAATGAATGGCACTGGTATGCTCAAATTAAAAAAATAAAATAAAACACAAGATAATTATAAAAAAAGAGAAAAACTTATTACACTCCAAATAGCAATCAGACTTAAGGTAAAAAAAGTATATATTTTGGTGAAAATTTATTATTAAAGTTAACAAAAGACCTACCTCCTTATTAACAGACTTATCTCCCAATGAAGGGATTAATATAATACAAAACAATTTACTGAATAAAACAACTATCTTACAAATAACTTCATACATAACTTCCCATGCACACACTCATTTAAAATGGTCATCTAACATTTTTTTTTGAAAACATTATCCAACAATACTCTATTTACAAAAATATTAAATGATTCTTTAGATATGAATAAGGAGGCAGACCACGACGAAGTATAATAACAATTGTCATTAATGCTTGAATCTCGATCATTTTTAGAAATGACGGGAGGCAATATACAAAAACATTTATTAACAAAAAGAAAAAAAAAAAAGAACTCGAGGCCATATAGTAACTAAAAAAAGAACATATATTTCATTTTACAGTTCCACCTATGTTCTGTTAGAACTCTCTCATTGGTATTTTTAAACACAACGGCTTCATCAAAATTATTTAATTTGATGTAAGATTAAATGGTGTCAAACGGTTATTAATTTAAGGAAAATAAAAATAAGCTTTTACAGGTCCTCATCGTCTTCAGGAAGTGCTGTGTCTTGTGCTTCCTGCAATATAAAACATGAATTAATATTTATCTTGCGAATATAAGCAGTATTTATGACTAAAACTTTACAAATGATATTCATTTTTACCTGGAGATCCCTTTCAATCTGGTCCTTCCATTCAGGATCCATGTTAACTTCAGGAGGCAACAGAGCAGGCATAGCAACAAATTCTAGATTTGGATCACCGATCAGTTTTCGAGCCAACCACAGAAAAGGCTTTTCAAAATTGTAATTACTCTTAGCACTGATGTCGTAGTACTATTGAAAATGTAAAAAATAACATAATTAATAAACATAAATTTTAAATCATATAATGTAAAATTTATAAAAAATATTATATCATGGATTATCTCAGGTACGACTATGTTGTTGAAGTATTAAAGCATATCTCAAAAACAAAAACAATTATAGAGAATAACAAAAGAAGGCATAATTGGAATTAGATACAAAACTTATCTTCTGGCTGATCCATAGGACAATGAATATTCACACTTAAAGAACAGTTTTGAAATCCAAAAGGGCTTAGAGGATTTTTTAATTTATTTCTATTCTACTTTTCGGTCTATATTATTTTAGAGTAGTATTAAACACGATCAATGGAATATTCATAACAAAAATCAAGTTTTTGATTGTGTGAAATTCTAATAGAAAGCGAACTAGTTTCTATGAGAACCAGCTTAATATTGCACTATCTTTATATATTATTTCTCCAAGGTCTTTTTTTTTTTTTTTTTGCAATATCTTTGTTGATAAGATATCAAAAAAACTGATATGCTTGTGATATTATGAGCAATGATGGACAAATTTTCAATATTATGGTAAACAATTATTGAAGTTGTTAAGCCATGTAGTATTTATTTAAGGGAAATCTAAAGCCTTATGTTAACTACCGATGAAAGTATCATAACTGTATGTTCTATTTTAAGATGATTACACTTTCATGAACTTCATTAAAGAAAGAGACAATGGAGGTAGAATTTGACAGTACGGCAATGAAGTAAATTCTAGATAAGATGGCAAAAAAGAAAATTAGACATTGTCATGCTCCATTCTCAAAATTCTTTTTGGTCATAATGAGCTGAACTTACTAACAACGCTGTATATATTTTTTTATGGGTCAGCTAAAACGAATCTCAAAGTAAAAAAATTATGTGATCAAATATCTTAGGATAATAGGATCTACTTGTTATGCCTACAATCCAAAATAGTAAAAGAATGGACAGAAGAACCATCGAAGGGTATTAGTACTTGTTTTATAAGTTATTGAAGACAAGATGATGAATTATAAGGATTATCAGAGTTGTTGCATAGTCATAGAAGTGAAAAGTGCAGCATTCCCTAAGAACATAACATGGACACTGATGGATTCTATAAAAAATAGAAAGATTCTACCTTAAATATTAATAAAATATAATTGGCATTGAAAAGTGCTATGTCAGTCAAAGTGTTAATTTGAATTGTTGTTTGGTATTGTTTTTCACTTATATGTTACATTTTGTAATTGACCTCAACAATTAGAGCCACAAAATTTTACTACAAATATAAGTTAATGGTCTGATGCTTAACTTTATAACGGTTGAAGAAACTATAAGCAATAAGTTATTTATTTAAACTGCTATACACTAAAAAATCAAACCTGTATGTCACACTAACAACCAACACTTTTAAATACCCATACTAGAGAAATAACTACTAACTACTCAATAAGAATTTTTTCTCTTTCGAATCTCTCCATTATTCAACTACTGCTGATTCAACATTTTTATCCATGAGACACTTGATTATTATAAATAATTCTGGTAAATCATTAAAAGTATTCAATTCCAGCAATATAATTTTAAACTTTAAACTTAAGATAGAGGTAGCAAAATAATAACTGAACACAATCTAATTTGTAAAATATAAAATTAGAAACCATCGAGACAATGACAGCTAGTGCCTTTACAAAAAATATGACATACATTTAACCAGTAAACAAGTAGAAAGAACAGCAAACAAAATAGTTCAATTTTTTAACAATTCTTTGCTGATGATTTAGCCCACAAACTATTTAATATCACATTAAGAAATTTTATGGCTGCTAGTAACAAGATTTTGTATGGAGTTTCATAAGTGAACTTAAGAAAATTTACTAGACACAAGTCTTCTTGATACAACTAACCTATAGATAAAACATCTTAACTAAAATTGAAATACTCACTTGAAGGTTCTTCTTTCTATGGAAAACGATACTTTTAGCTTTCACTTTTCTATCTTTAATATCTACTTTGTTTCCACAAAGTACTATGGGAATGTTTTCACAGACGCGTACTAAATCTCTATGCCAATTAGGAACACTTTTGTAGGTTACCCTTGAAGTAACATCAAACATAATGATAGCGCATTGACCCTGGAATATAAGAAAAAATTCACTTAACAAAAAGCAAAATTGAGGAATGATTAGGAAGAGCATATTGCATGAAGAAGTACCTGAATATAGTATCCATCCCTAAGTCCACCAAACTTCTCCTGACCTGCAGTATCCCATACATTGAAGCGAATAGGACCCCTGTTGGTGTGGAAAACTAAGGGATGCACTTCTACCCCTAAGGTGGCAACATACTTTTTTTCAAATTCACCAGTTAAATGGCGTTTGACAAAGGTAGTTTTGCCAGTACCACCATCACCAACAAGGACACATTTAAATGATGGTACATCAGCCTCTTCCATAATAAAATTTTGGTACTACAGGTTTCTGAAACAAACAATAAAACAAGTTATTGATTGAAAATCATAAATAAGTACATAATCTTAATACCACATAAAACATTAGGGGAAGCAACCAATACACAATCAAAAACGTGTTGCATACTAAGGGACAAGCATAGTAAGGAACAAGAATTATTAAAGTTAAGATGTTTTTAACAAACTGAAGCCTCTCGAAAAGCTAACAACTATGATCTTTATTTATATAACTAGTTTGTAAATTCAATATAATTCATAAGATAAATGGCGCCATTATGAGACAGAAAACGCCTGAGTGCCGACAAGCCGGAGTAATGGAAATACTGTTTATAATGATTAACAATAGCACACCACACAATTAAAAGACATTGGTCGCTAAACCGATCATATGAAAATTATAAAAAAACTTAGTAAGAAAAGTTGAACTGATTGATCAAACTCACCGTTCAGAGAGTTCGTAACGGTCTACAATGGCGTTTAGTGAGCCGCAGAAGAGGCAGTATGGCGGAGTTCAGGATGCTTAATAGATTAATTTTACTTTTTGTTCATCACTGTATATTGGAAATTTGTTTCGATAATTAAATTTATAAAATATTTTAATTTTTTTTAGGGCAGTACAAATTTCATTTAAGATAACTGATTATCATTTTAAGACATAGTATATAAATTTGTAAGAGAACGGTACAGAGCATGCGCTGTTTGACAGACGGCAATGCAGGAGAGTATCGATTTTTACTATAAGGAGCCAGTATCTGCCTAGTTAAAGTGTGATGCCGTTAGTGTGAAATACTGTGCATGGGATTCTCGTGTGTCCTGAGGCGAGTTTTTGTGTAGTGAACCGGTCTGGTAAAAATGACTAAAGATAGGTTAGCAGCGCTTAAAGCAGTAAGTATAAGCTTTCAATGTACTAATTTTTTGAGGTTTTTAGTTTTAATTTTTCTTATCAATTCTGAACTGTCATATTCACTAGTAAGGAAGATATGCCGAATATTTGAATTAATATTTGTTGTATTTTTATTATTTTACTGGATGAAACCATGTTTTGCTAGGCCGGTAGTGTCTCTTTATAATGGGTTATCATAATTTTTTTTTTTGGCTCCACCCCTTTCAATTTTTGGCACTATAAAGGAAAAACACCGATTTTCTCGTAAATGTCATTTCCACCTATGTAATTATTAGTTTATTTGTCGCCTTAAATCAACAGGCTTCTGTCAAGTTTCCATCAACATAGCTATGATTAGTTGGTGTTAATACTTTATTTGGAGATTTTATTAGTTAATTACTTATTATTTTGTATACTAATTATTTAATTTCGTTCAACAATTTATTTTTAAACTAAAATTTTTAGGATCTTTTTAACATTGATGTTTGCTACTTTTTGATTTTTCTTTTTAGGCGCAGAGTGATGATGATGATGTTCCAGATGAAGTGGCTGTCAATGTCGAAGGACGTGATGGTTTCATGGATGAATTTTTTGCCGAGGTTTGTAATTTTAGCATGTTCTTGTTGATTTATGTTATTGTTACTTTTTTATTGTATTATTTTTTATCTCTCTAAATTCAACATAAGCTTAAATAATAATAATAAAACTATATTTTCAAACTTTTGAATTCCTATTCTCCATCAATAGTTATTATGTTATGTATTTTGTTGAGCTTCATTATGTTTTTGTTCTACAGGTTGAAGAGATACGGGAGATGATAGATCGCATTCAATCTAATGTGGAAGAGGTGAAAAAGAAACACAGTGCTATACTGAGTGCCCCACAAACTGATGAAAGTAAGTATCTTTCCTTTTATCTAAAAGAAAATTGAATGAGGCCTATCATAGACTACTAAAAGATTTATTGATCCTATACTTTTAATCAAGTGGATCACACTTGACAAATGGAGGAGTTAATAAAAGGCCATCTCTCTTGATACACTTCTTGACAATGCATTTAATTGATATCATGTATCTTACCAGCAATTCAGTTTTTTTTTTTTTTTAATCTTAATGATTCTAATTTCATTGAATAGGATTTTCATTGGTAGTGTACCAAATGCTTTAAGTTTGTTTTATTTTATCTGATGAAGTTTTCTCTTTGATTCTTGTTTGCCATTTTATTAATTTTTCCTTAATATATAAATGCATACGTATGGTATTAAATTGTTATCTTTGAAGAATTAAATCAACATTTTCGTGATTTACATTTCTATATGACAATTTTTAAGTGGTCCAGAATTTTCTCAAAAGATATTCGGTGCTACAATCTGTTTAGGTTTTGCTCATTTTCTGTCTAAAATTATTGTACATTTTTATTGTGTTGGTTTTATTCTATATTTTGATAATATGTTTCGTTTTATATCAGGAATATATTAATTTTGTAGAAGATGTATTAAGAGGACTTTGAATTGAAGTATCTTTTATAGTGTGAGCCACATTCATAAGTAATACATATATTATTCTTATTATCAATAAAATAATTATGTGCTTTTATTGTTCCATTTTTTGAAAAGGGTAAATGTGCACCCATATTGCCTCTGAAGTTGTTTATCTTATGTTCGCCTTATCATGGGGTTTTGTTAAATAATTATAGTGTTGGTTTACAACTTTCTTTTTAATGTATAACTTGTAAATACATATATTATATTACTTATTCAACTTTTTATCACTAAATACTAGGAAATTAATTTCTTTATCATGTTCCAATGGCATGTGTAGGCTGTACCTTACTATGACATTGATTCTTTTAAACTATGAGTGGGTGATCATAGTTCTTGATTTTTTAATATTATATTGTAACTCAAAAATTTTTTAGCCTTGAATCCACAAGATCATTGGGATTGTGGTTCTGAAGATGGGAGTAAATATCCCGAAACGTAAACTTGTAAACATGTAACTTTGATAAAACAAAAAATATATTCAATTGTTGCTAATTGAAAGTAATTATTGCCAAATAACTAAGAATATTATACAACTTCTCAGAAAAAAGGAAGTTCTTGATTTGTTTTTTAATTCTATATATTTTTTAGACAACTTCAACTGAATATTTAGTTATTTACTTTTATCATTTCTTCATGAGGCTGAGAATTAGTTTTGAAAATTAACTTAAATAGTGGAACAAAATTGGAAAAAAATAAGAAAAATAAGTCTACCTTGTTCGATTGAATATGAAATAGATATATATTTTTTAATATAAAAGTAAGGAAGGTCTTACTTTTCTGAAATTATTTTTGAAGTTTACACAATAAGCTGGTATTGCCATATAAGTCTTTTGAAACTTAATTTATATTTAGTTGCTAGTTTAGAAGATGGCTGACACAACTAAAAGTTAACATTATTGGGATGGGATGTTTATGGACATATACATGTATGTCTTTATAATTTTTATTTAGAATGGTTTAAAAAAAAAATCTGCTCTGCCCGTCTTCTTGCAACCAGAAATATATAAGTCATTATTTTTTCTCCTTTGAATTACTCAACCAAAGATTTGGTAAGGTTAATACACCTTTAAATTTGTTTATTCATACATTTATTAAATGAATGAAGAAATTCGATATCTTAATCCTAGTTGCACTTATTAATTATACGATATCTTGTAATGAAATAATGGGCGATACATACGATTGAGAACTGTTTTAAAGGGATCTTAGTCACCATTTCATAACCGGAACTGCACTCTTGGTTCCTGCCGGAAGTTCCCACACTTCTCTTAGTTTATTTCTGTCTGTTTTACAATGTTCTCCCTTGATGTTCTAATTGTTTTATATTTTATTCCATAAATATAGCTTATTATGAAATATTAAATGCATTAAACGCTCAATTGAAATATTAATGTTACGTACACTGTAATACATATGTACACTATTTTACAGGTTAAGATTGGTTTTATGATTTTTCGTTGCCACCCAAAAGCATGCCAGATGATGTTTAGTTGTTACGAATAGAAAATAATACGCGAAAATGTTTTTGCCTACAAATTTAATGAAGTGACTTCTGACGTCTCCCCGAATATATCTGTTCTAAATTCAAGCTATTTTAAATTTTCATTGTAGAAGATTAAATTTTTCTGTTTTGTTCAAATTTTTATCAAAGTTGCCAAAAATTCTTGTTTTTCTACTGTTGATTTGAATCGAATTTATAATGTCCGTTACTCTTTCGGTTCTTTCATTCTTGAAATAGCGGCTTTTTTGATAGGATACACAGTTTTGGTTTTATAGAACAATGATTAATAAAGAATCCGAAATTTCGTTTATTTATTGTTTTAACGTCACAACTTAGGACTTATTACGCTTTACGTCAGCGCCTGCCGCTCGAACTTGGCGGGTAGGTTCTTTGTAGACGTGTTGTTTTATTCTCATAAATCTGGGATCTCTAAACTATCAGCTTGTTATGATAAAGAATATTGATTTGTTGTTGTTCAATAACAAAGTCAAACACCGATGTCACCTTATACTTATGCATAATAAGTTTTTTATTTATTTCCCGTGATAGTAATTTAGTAACTTCTTATGATTATTTAAAAAAAAAAGAGGATCATCAACATATTTGTTGCTTATTGGGCACACAGGCGGATCTACGGGGGGAGGGGCTTTCGGGCTGAAGCCCCTCCCAAAATGATAAAATATAACCATGTTTTACAGAAAAAAATATTAAAAACTATCTCTTATTCAATCAATTTCTTTCTTTTTTTTTTTCTAATAAATTATCGTTTTATGTATATTAAAAAAAAATCTTTCGGGCTGAAGCCCCTCCCCCTAAATTAAATCCTGGATCCGCTAGTGATCGGGCAACCTTATATTATTCTTTTAATCTAACAAAATTAGAAAATTTCAGGAAAATGGGGGATTCCATTCTGTTGGAAATTCCTTGCAAATTTTCGAAAGTCGTCGTTACCTAATCTTCTACTATATCTTCCATAATTTTTCTTGGAATGTGAGATAGTTAAATTTGGTTATATTTTTAATTCTAGTTTTAATCATTAATATTTTTATTTTAGGACAATTAAATTAAATCCATTAATGGCTAATTGTTACAAAAGTAATTAAAAGGTATTGGTAGTTTTGGTAATACGTAATGCAATGAGTATAATTCTTGTTAGCTTCAAAACTTTCATAAAAACCTATTTAACTTCATTTGTCCCTTTTATTGAGTTATAAGTTACCTTTTGTTCCTCTGTTGAATACGCTGGTGCAATTAAAAACGATAATCGTCAACGTTGGACGTTAAGGACATTTTACACCATCTATTGACGACTGATTGTACCATGTAATTCGATATTGCGTTTAATCTGTACGAGTCTAAATAATGATATCTTTCAAATATATCGAAATAGTAAATCGTATTTCGAAAATAATATATCGATATTTCGGGTCCAAATATTTTTATTCTCTGAAAAGAGTAGGGATGTTAATAACGAACTGTAGTATCGATGTTATTTTTAAATTGTTTCATTGTATTCATAATTGTAAACAAAAAAATATAGAATGTAGAACCCATGAAATATATATTGTTTATACTTCGCGTTTTAATCATTAATTAAGCCGCTAATGACCCGCTTGCGTTTTAATTCCTAAAAAAAAATTAATGGGATCCGGTTGTGTATGTCGTTTGTAATATCGCCGATATATTAAAAATAAAAATAAATGTGAAATTTGTGCGTTTGTTTTAACTATATTTAATATATTAAAGGGTTTGCAAGTCTTTATAACGGGTTTATTTAGTTTTTATCGATAAATAAGGTCGAGATTCACAAAAGTAAAACAATGTACTTAGTGACTTTTTGTTATAATCTGATGATATCTACGACGCATGCTTTATTCTTATCTGTAGTTTTGGCATGCAATCTTACCCGGATATCCTCCGGTTTACAATGAAAATTATATTTGAGATTTATTAAGAGTACAATATTAAAGAGTTATAGTATGAGTACTGTATTAAAACCATTTGTACCGACCGAAGAAGCAAAGTGGGTTCAAATATTTTTTTAAGGATAAAAAAAAGTCGATATTTGTATTGCGTACCTCCAAAAACTCTGAAATACGAATTGGTATAGCAATAAAAAATAATATATTTTTTTTTTTTCTTTTCGAAATTTATGCTTTCATTTCTTTTTTAATCACAAAATATCAAACAAAACTAAAAAAATATGTATAGTAAATAAAAAACAATAATAAAATATATAAAACAAACAAATAGCAGAGGTTAGGATCCTATAAACTGCTCGAAAAGCCAGAAATCAGAACTGGTTGGTAAAACCGTATGAATTTTTTTATTTATTCCTCGTATGAGTGTATAATCGAAAATTATTGATCTTTAGTAAATAAGTTATTTATTGATATTTAAAATATAATTTAATTTTCCGAAGGTTCCAGTAACGCTCACTTCAGAGAACATCCTTAATACTTAAATACATGGTATAAAACCATGTCGAAAAATAGATATTTTTTATTTCAAAATGACTTAGTATTTAAGATTTTGATAAGAGCTCTGGAAACGAATCTGAATTGTTTTTTTTGATAGCAATAATTGAATTGGTCCACAGGCGGATCTACGGGGGGGAGGGGGCTTTCGGGCTGAGCCCCCCCTATTTACATAATTACATTTAATAGGACTTCAAGAACCACTTAAACACCATTTCATATAGGTAGTTAATTTCTTTCTCTTTTTAAAAAATTAATTATCGTTATATGTTTATGAAAAAAAAATCTTTCAAGCTGAAGCTCCCCAAAATTAAAATCGTTATATTCATATGAAAAAAAAAAATCTTTCAGGCTGAAGCCCTCCCAAAATTAAAT